CCCGGAGGGCAGGTCCGAGCCCGAGTAGGCGCGGGTGCGGCCGTTGGCGGCGGGGCCGCTCTGCTTGGCGCCCATGTCCGCGCCGCCCCGGGCCGCGAGCGAGCGAGCGAGGCGGGCGGGACGCAGCTCGCGGCTGCTGCTCAGGTGGCCGTGCGGACGCGGTCGCTGCCGGGCCGCCGCGACGGGCCGCTGCCGCTCGCTGCCGCGGTCCGCGGCCTCCGCACCGCCTCCTCCCGGGCGGCCGCCGCCACCGCCGCCATCCTCCGGCTCCCCGGCGGCTCGGAGAGTGGGAGGCGCCCGGCCGTTCTGGGAGCCGCCTCCCTACGCGCTAGCCGCTCGCAACGGGAAAGAGGAACGGGCGGCGCGCGCCCCGGCAACAGTCGCCTTGCGGCCCGCACAGGACGAGCCGCGGCCCGGCAGAGGCGCAGCGCAGAGATTGGGTCCCGCCGGCCAGACTCTGCCCTACAGCCAGGCCGGCCCGCCCTGGCCCCGCCCAGCATGAGGTGATGGACAGCCTGGTGGCTCCGCCCTCCAGGCCAGGCTTCCGGGCACCAATCAGAAGGCGGCCCCTCCTCCTGCACGTGGCCTGTGGACGCTGGAGAAGAGCAAGTACACCTTTTCCTGGCTGGGCCGGTCCTGGCGGTGTCCTGTCTTGAGCTTTCAGATGGGTAGAAGTGACCTTCATTGGTATTGAATACACTGATTAAAGAAACAAAACAAACAAACAAAAATCAGTCTCAGCAATGAAGACAGTTTAAAGCAAGCAAACAAAAAGCAGCACGGAGTTGAGGACAGAACAAAAACGGGAAGGCTGAAGCCAACTTGATCTGAATTATTCTGGGGTAGAGGAGGAGCACAACACTGGAAGAACGAATGATAATCCAGCCTGACCTTCAGGGATAGAGCAAAACTGAGGCGCAGAGACCATCTTTTTCCTGACACCCAGCCTTCCAGCCCAAAACCAAGGCAAATTATGCAGCCTGTAAATTATTTTCTCTTTTTGGACTTTAGCTTTCTTGCCCAGAATGCTTGAATTAAATCTGCAGGGCAATAGCAGCTTTAAAATCTTGTGGTTTCTCTAAATGGAACTTAACTGACTCCTAAATGCCTTTCTGCGTGCGGTGCTTGGGCCGCCGTCTCTGACTCTCCCATTTGGAGGATGCCTGAGGCATTGTCTACATGGAGAAATAGCCAGTGTGTTTGTAAGAACTGCAGAAATGTGTTGCCATGTGTTTTTTCCCTTTTGTGAGTCATTTATGTAGTGAATTTAGTCATTCTTTAAAAAGATATGGAAATGGAGGCTCTTCAAAATGTACGCACAGGCGTGCACTCGAGGGGGGCCGTGTATAAATGTTTTACCTGTATGTAAACTCAACACGTGTACCTGGTGCCCATCGTGGAGGTCAGAAGAGGGCACTAAATCCCTTGGAACTGGAGTTATGGTGAATTAGCCTCCGCCTGGGATGCTGGGAATGAAACCCATTTCCTCTGTAGGAGCAGCCTGTGAAGCCATCACTTCAGCCACAAGTTAGGTTTTTTTAAGAAAGGGAAATGAGCCCTTATAAGCAGACTTGCCTGTAGTTACAGCCTCTGGAGAAACTTGATCAGGAGGATCACCTGAACCTTAGAATTCAAGGTCAGCCTGAGAAACAGGGGTAGGGGAGGGGTGCCGCTCAACTGTAATCCCAGTACTTGGGAGGCAGAGGCAGGCAGATCTCTGGGAATTCAAGGCCAGACTGGTTTACAAAGTGAGGCCCAGGACAGCCGGGCTACCCCAAGAAACCCAGTCTCAAAAAACAAAACAAAGTAAATTAAAAAAAAAAAAAAAAAAGGAGGAAGAGAAGAAGGAAAAAGAAATGCATTGGTGCATACATATGCTCTACATGTAAGACATAGCTACGCCGAGCTTTCATAGAAAATATCCTCTGTTCCATCACTCGGCTAAATGCCTTTTACCTGCGCATGCTACCAGTCACCCCATTCCCAGGAATGAAGGCAGTGCTGTGTAAGGATCCCTTCGTGGCTCTGATCATGGTATTCATTACACACTCAGTCTGTGGCACTACAATAGCTTTTCAGTGAGTCAGTGTTCTTATGTTTTCCAGTCACTAAAATCACTCTTCTAAAAAATTGTTTACATTTATTTGTGTACACATGTGTATGTGGGTACACTCACGCTGTGAGGTTTGTGTGGTGTCAAGAGTACCACTGACAGGAGTTCTTTTCTTACACCCACGTGGGGTCTGGGGGGGGGGGGGGGGGCGGTCAATGTCCTTACTTGCTTACCTTGCTGGCCCTAAAATGATTCTTGAAAGTCACTCATAAATTTACACTATTGCTCTTCGACAGCGGCAGTGTAGAGAGTCTCTTTCCTCTCTATTCTTTCCTTCATCTGCTTCTCTGTCTCTTTCCGGCCTCCGTGTGTGTCTCCCAGTAGTAATCCTCATGAAGACTGCTTTATTGCCAAGCAGCTGTGACTTCACTTAAAATCTGTGGCTCCATCAACCCCCCCCCCCCCCCCGCCCAGTTCTTCGAATTCCCTTAAGAAACCTGTTCTTGGACAGGAGCCTACCACAGAGGGCCTCTGAAAGGCTCTACCCTGCAGGGTATCAAGGCAGATGTTGAGACTCATAGCCAAACTTTGGGCAGAGTACAGGGAATCTTATGAAAGAAGTGGGAGATAGTAAGACCCGGAGAGGACAGGAGCTCCACAAGGAGAGCAACAGATCCTAAAAGTCTGACACAGGGGTCTTTTTCTGAAACTGCTACTCCAGCCAAAGACCACTCATGGAGATGGCCTGGAACCCCTGCACAGAGATAGCCTATGGCAGTTCAGTATCCAAATGGCCACCATAGTAATGGGGACAGGGACTGTCTCTGACATGAACTGATTGGCCTGCTCTTTGATCACCTCCCCCTGAGGGAGAGCAGCCTTACCAGGCCACAGAGGAAGACAATGCAGCCATTACTGATGAGACCTGATAGACTAGGGTCAGAGGGAAGGAGAGGAGGACCTCCCCTTTTCAGTGGACTGGGAGAGGGACACGGGTGGGGAAGAGAGAGAGTGGGATTGGGAGGGGAGAAGGGAGGGAGGTACAGGGGGGATATAAAGTGAATAAATTGTAATTAATAAAAATAAAAATAATTTTTAAAAAACCTGTTTTTCCTTTTGTTTACCTCCAGAAGCAGACAGGGACCAACCAAGACAAGATTATCAGCACACACCACCACAGAGCAGCAAGTTCAAGCTGGGGTTAGGCCTGGATTCTCTTTAATGCTGGCTTCGGGATTGGGGTCACAACAAGCCACTTACCTTAGCTAAACCTGATTCTTTTAAAACATGTAAAGCGCACAAGATCATAGTACCAGTCTCAGGGTAGCTGAGAGTCTCAAAAGATCCAATGTCTATTTGAAAGTGCTTTGAAATTCGTTGTCCTGCCTATCGTGGGATAATAATTTGCATGTTGTCTGTAGCAGACTGTAGTACTACACAACTTAGAATTTGCTAAAACTTGGCGGACTTGAGCTCACTGCTTTGTACAACTGAAGCTCACTCTTAGCACGTGAAGTATTATAAATAACTGTTTAATAACTGTTTAGTAGTCATTACTGGTGTGTACATCACCATAATAGCTTGACCAGAAAGGCCAGAGGTTCTTTGAAATCTTTGTAGTTAAAGTTTTTCTTTTTAATGAACTTTTCTTTGTCTCATAGGGTAGCTAACACTTTGAACAGTCTTTGGTGTCCTAAATAGGCTTCAGTGTGTCACAAAAATGCTTCATGTTCATCAGCTGGTGAGCAGAGCCCTGTGTTATATTTAACATAGATTTTTTTTAAGTCTTTTCTAAAAACAGCTGAGACAGAATGTCAGCACCTACTAATGAAAATAACTTGATTCTTGCTTATCAAACTAGTATAAAGGTATTAACAAAAGATTTAATATGTGTATTATATTTTACTCTCAGTTCACTTTGGCTTGCAAACAATATTTTAATTTAAAAAAATGAACATCTTGGGGCTGAGAAGATAGCTTAGTCTAAAAAATATTTGTTACACAAACATGCCAACCAGAGTTCAGTCTCCAGCACCACATAAAAAGATAAGCATGGTAGTGTGGCTTGTAATCTTAGCTCCAAGTTGGACAGGATTCCTGGGGTCCATGGAACCATCCTCCCCTAATCAGTGAATTCCAGGACTCAGTGAAGAGACCCATACCTAATAATAATAAATAATAATGTGAGCCAGGTAGGGCAGTAGTGGCTCATGTCCTTAATTCCAGCACTTGGGAGACAGAAGCAGGCAGATCTCTGATTTCAAGGCCATCCTAGCCTACAGAGCAAATTCCACAGCAGCCAGGGCTTACACAGAGACCCTGTCTCAAAAAGTAATAGTAATAGTAATAAATAATAATAGTAATAATATGGAGGGCTCCTGATGATTGACATTCAAGATGAATCTTTCTGGTCTCCACATGGTTGCACAGAGATGTTCATGTTTGTTCATACACATGAACAAACACACACACACACACACACACACACACACCAAAAAGCCTTTATTTCAAAATCCTTAACACAAAACAAACATAACGTATGATGTCTTCCCTACATTCTAAAGAAAGCTCTTACATTCCATAGTGCTGTAAAAGACCTCACTGGGGCCATATTGTTGCAAAGGTATAAAACATAGTGGAAAGGGTTTCATGGGCCCAGTACCAAGGGGATTTCCCAGCCTATAGAAGGGGAAACGAGCTCAGGGGAAAAATAGCCTCCTGCTACATAATGCATGTGTTCTCTCCTCCAGTGCATATTCGCAGTCCTCCCAGCCTCCTGCCACGTGCACAAATCCCTGTGGTAATACATGAATGATTAAACAGTAGTATAAGACATTCTCCTGTACCACTTTTTCCCTCAAGGGTAGCCAAAAGCCCAATAGAATCAAGCTCTATATTTTAGGCTTAGGTTGTATAAACCTCCCAAGCAAAAAACCTCTAGTCTCCAATATCTTTATCACCCCACAGTGAATGCTTCTCCAGAGCTCTGAGATAGTCTTTAGGCAGAAGGCTTTCAGGGCCTGTTGTGGATCATAATGGCAGACAGCAGTAATTAATGCATGCCCTGGATTACCACTGACTTAGCTAACTGTTATTACCATGCCAAGTCTGTTGCCCTCTACCTTTTTCTGCCAAAGCAGTGTGTATTTAAGTGGCCGACTCCCTCGCAGTGGCATTTGAATGATCTTTGCCCCAAGGTAGGGCAGGTGGGAAAGAGTAAGGTCAGAAATGCAGGATTACCTCTTGCCAGGAATGAGAAAGCAAACTGGGTGGCAAGAGCTACTGGTCAACTTAACACACCCTCTGTTTCCCAGAAGCTAGATGGTCTTTGGCTGAACTCTAGAGAGCCAAGTCTGAACCAATAGGTTTTGGAACATAGCCCTAAACGGGTC